CTTGGGCTGTATGCTCAGGAGTCGTTTCGTGCTCCATTGCCATTGCTCTTTGGGCTCCATGCTTGGGAGTTTGGCACTGTTCCTTCATTCAGTGACCCAAGGCCTTGAACCTCGTTCCACACTATAAGCTCCTAAGTTTGGACTTCCCGGGAGGTCACCCAGCCCAGTACTATTCAAACCCAAGGACGCTTAACCCCAAATATCCCAAGACCCACCACGCTTTCCTGCAAGTTCACACCCTCATGAACGGAAGCTGAGAGCCGCAGCTCTCCCGAGAGCCCCGCTCTCTTGACACCCTACCCCTCGGGTCGAGCCCAGCGAGAGCAAACTGGACCAGCCAGATGTCAATCAACATGTGGTGCGATTCCCTTAGCCAACCAACAGAGTCGGACCCGAGACCTCTTTGATACCAAATATAAGCTCCTAAGTTTGGACTTCCCAGGAGGTCACCCAACCCAGTACTATTCAAACCCAAGGACGCTTAACCCCAAATATCCTAAGACCCTTAACCGATTGGAAAAGGAAGTGCACTCTTATTCATGGGCCCTTTCCCTCTATATTTGAACCCCTATGGATCATCTCTTAAGTCGTTCCCTTTGGTTGCTTACACACACCATTGTCCTTTGGACACGTGGCATATGACACGTGGCATGTGTCACATGGCATAAAGAGGGTTTAGGTTCCGCTTCATGGTGTTATTCTATGGTAAATCATTATAGGATAAAGGGTCAAAACCACGTGCGCTACAATTAAGTGTCATTGGGTTTGAATAGTACTGGGTTGGATGACCTCTTAGGAAGTCCAAATTTAGGAGTTTACAGTAGAATTTAAATGCTCTTATATAAATAAAAAAGACAAAAAAAAAAAAACCAAGAGAAAAAAAAATTCACAACTCCAAGTCTAAAGAAAAAAGTTTGGATACCTACAAAGTATGTATGAGAATTTAATAAAATAAATGACTTTGAGCATTCCCTTTTGGAGCTGGGATTGGGCAATGCTTGTGCTAGCGGTGAGTTCTTCCTTCGATGGTCGTTTCAAAGATCCAACTTTTATTGGTAAAGACCCCATTATAGCGTCTCTGGCAATATTGAAATTGGTGGAACTTTTATCGAAACTCTATAATGCTCACTTGAAAAATTACTAGGCTCTCTTTTACTAGATCTTGCTACGGATCAACAAGAAAAGTGGAGAAAATTCAATTGCAAGCTCTATGAGTATGTTAACACAGGAAAAAATCTAGGCTTTTGCAAACAAATGGGCAATGGTAGTGCTACTCTTCTAGTTTGGACAATATTTGCTTATTTCTTCTTCGAGACTTGGAACTTTCATTACCAACCTCCAAAATATTTAAAACAAGGACTTAAAGCTTGCATGGAAGTGAAATATACTCCTAATCCATGGAAGTAGATCAAGTTCAATACTTTTTGCAAGCTTCACTTAGTCTTTCTTTTCATTTTGCAAATGCATTCCATATCTAAACATCAATCTAGAGATGAACTACTGGCTAGTTGAAGTTTGATGGTTGGTTGATTTGTGATGATTCACATTATATTTAACTTTCTAGGTTGCTGGATCCAGCCAATGGCAGTCGTCTGATAGGGGGTAACTGTAAAAGGGTTATTTCTTTAACCATATCTTAGCAAATATTTGTGTTAATGTTTGCTTTCAGCCAATGGGAGGCGGCCAATTGCCTATTGCAACACATGTCACATACAAAGTGCTTACTGGCATTGACACTCAACTTTTTGCTATGGAAACCCTCTAAAATCAAGAGGGTAAGTTTTAAGGTTTAGTGGAGAGTGTTTGCAATGATAGTAGGTTTAACTATTGACAGCTTCATATTGTGATTCAAGATCATATTTGATCTCTTTCCCTCGATTTCAAGTTTTGTGAGTGATGGCACATGATCTTGCCAATCCCTAGCAATGGTGCCTCACATTCATTGCAAATGCACAACTTCCTGCACAACACCCTTTTTTTCTCGTTGTGGCTGTTGATCTATTGCCTATTTTGGGAATTTGTGACGCCACTAGAGCCGCTGTTGTAAATGAATTTTCTTGTAGTGAGATTGCATTTTCTCAAACTTCTTATCAGGTCACTAATGATGGAAAGATTTTGAGAGAGTCACTGAGATGGTAGATATGTTTTTTTTTCTCTCTTCTTCATTTTTATTCCATTTTGTTTTGTTTATTTGGATTCAAGGCAAAGCTGTTTCGATAATATAGTGGTGTGATGCCTCTAGCAACATATCTAAACCACAACAAGCAATCAATAAAGTAAGCTATTCTCCTTTCAATGGAAGTTTGAGAGTTTTTATATGTTCTTTAGGTGGTGGCACAAGCTCTAGAGAATGCAAAAGTGAATAAGTCAAAATTTGCAATAGTAACTATGACAATTAGTCTTAGCTTGAGTTTATGCTTGGATAATAACATTCTTTGTGATATTTCTTAGGCTTATTGTTGTGCCCAATGCTGGGAGGATTATGTTAGGCATCACATTGAAGAATTGCTTGGCATGGCATGTAGTTTCTTGGCACCAGAGGAGGGGCCAGCTCACATACTTCTCATTGTGGCAGATCTGCATAGTCATCAGGATGGTAAGATTTTTACTTTCTTTACCAAGTGAATTCATGGATGTAGAGAAGGATATTGGGTAGTGGCCAAACTCTAATAGTAGGTTTTATCTCTTGCTAATTGTGTTGCCATAGTGATGGAAGTGTGGTATTAAAAGATTTTGGGTTATAATACACAATGCTCTTGCTAATTTAACCAATGACAAGTTGTACCTATGAGGTGATAGATTATGTATGTCTTTGGTGGCATCACCATATCAAAATCCAAAACTGGCAAAAATTTGAATTCTGTTTAATGGGTTACCTCAAAAGAGTGATTTTTTTATGTGAATAACTTTATTTTTAATGATTTATAAATAAAATAATCCTTATTCTGTTTTATAAATTATTATAATCTTTGAATATTTTAGGTCAAAATTAACTTTTATAATTTAGTTTAACAGTATTTACAAAAATAATAAGAAATTTATATTTTGTAGAGATAGCCTGTCTAAATATCACTAAAACATATAAAACCTAAAACCATGTGATGGTATATCAAATGTGAGTTGACTTAGTTTTATCAATGTGTAACAAAGTTTCAAGTGTTAATAGAAAAATATGATAATAAATTTAACAATAAGAGTATATATTATATTTTTATATGTAGCCTTAGCTATTTACAATCTAACTCATTATCCAAAAAACTAAAATAATATATGCCAGTATTTTATTAAAAATTAATATTTTAAATTCTTTTTCCTAACTGCAATATAGTTTATTAGTACATAATACTATGGAATATAAGATTTGAATTTATAGTTTTTATAACATATATATTTAAAAAAGTATTATCTTCTTGACTGGATCTAGGTAGTAATACTTAAAAACTTATTGTTTTATATTCTAAGTAATTAAATTTACATATAACATATTATTAATAATAGAAAATTCATTTTTAATTTTTTCTGGGTTAGATATTTTTAAAATATATTCGTATTTCCAAATAATAATTTTTATGTAATAATTTTATTAATGAATATTTATTCTTATTTAAGGAATATATTTTGTTCTAAATATTTATATTATCAATATTATTTTGGTACTATTCCAATTTAGTTTTTAATATATGCTAACTGTGCAGCATATGCTAGGTAATATCTAGTACCATGAGCAAGTGAGTACCACTACATATCACATGATTTGGTTCGAATAGCATGTTCCTCACCAGTGCCACTGCATCATTCAACTGATTCGTACGACCGTATGCACGAGTAGTGCTAAACCTCGAGTATAACACAGCAGAATTACCCACCAGAAGAATGTCACCTTTCTCCCATGGAAACGCCACCTTTTCCTCCTGCATAGAGAAACACTGAAGAAATGCTTCCCTTTGTCGATCAGTCCAGCATGGCTGCAAGCGCTCAGGATCAATGAAGATGGAACGCTGCTCGAAGATCAAGCTGCGGATGAACTCGTGGAGATAATGCTCACGGAAGAGGTGGCGTTTTCATGGGAGAGACAACTCTGCTGTGTTACACTCGAGGCAGAAATGCTCGTCCAGGCAATCCTCCATGTATAAATATTTCTTCGTGTGATTTACAAAAAAAGCTTATAGTTAGACAAAGCGTTCTTGTAGTTAGTAAAAGGAAATTAACTCGTTTCTAGCTATACTGGATAAATCACATAAAACTAATAACTAGTAAGACAAAAGGACAGGGCACTTATCCTGGCCATCAAAACCGATATTTGTTGCGGTAGTGTCACCAAACTGTGGAAGAACCATAGTCAATCCACACAAAACCCTGGCATCCATGGTACCCTGACTAATCCCCCAGGAAGCACGGGCATGGATTGCCGCAGAGAGTGGCACACTCCCAGATCCAATGTCTGCCCTCAGCTGCTCCAAGTGTTCCATTGGAAGACTCGTCTCATTCACCATGACGCTCCGCTTCACAGGCACAACACCGTTCTTTGGGAGCACAAAGCTATGAAAGTCAAACTGCTGGCCTGTAAGATCCACCCCGCGGTAACTAACGCCCACGTCGAATTCTGTGAACTTGACCTTTATCACGTTCTCGAAGTTGCGGTGCTTGGAGTTCAGGCACTGGAACTGGAAGTCGAGCTTGGATAAGAGACCCGACGTGGTGTTCGAAGGGAGCTTGATGTACGAGACCTTCACGTCCTGGAACTCGCACCATGGCTCGTGGAGATGGACGCGCCATGCAAGCCATGAGATCACGAAGACACCTACTACAAACAATAGCACAACGCCCAAGGTGACACAAGCCCTTATCGTTTCCGCCAGCGGACCCTTCCGTCGATTCATCTACCTTGATTAGGGTTTTGGACGAAGTTAGCCTTATATTGTTTACAGTCCACTTAAGGAACCTCCTGGAAAGATAGACAGGCTAGAAGATTAGGGTTCTTGGACAAAGTTGACGAAGAGCTAAAAATTTTGATATTTAGACTTGTGATGCTTCCCCGCCATTTTGCACGCGTTAACGATCGTCGTCCACACGAACTCGTCTGCTTTCCCGCAAGGCAAGCTCCGCGCGAGCGCAATGGCGTGATCCAGCTCGTACGCGCGGCACAGGAGATCCACAAGGCAAGTCCAGTGCTCGATCTGTGGAGACACCCCATACTTGGTTTGCATTGCCTGGAAGAACTCCATTCCCTTGGCGACGAGCCCGGCGTGGCTGCAAGCCGTGAGGAGGCACACAAACGTAGCGCCGACGGGTGGAATCCCGCGGCCCAGCATCTCCCCAAAGAGATCAAACGCCATCTTCCAATCGCCCACTCGGCTAAACCCCGCGATGACCGTGTTCCATGCCACCGAGTCGGGAAACTCGGTCGAGTCGAGCACACGCTGCGCCGCCGCGAGATCTCCACACTTGGAGTACATGTCCATGAGGCAGTTCGCGAGGATGCTCTCGCAATCGTGTCCAAATCGGCAGGCTTCGGCGTGGACGGCTCGTCCCAGCTCCAGAGCCACAGCGCTACTGCACGCGCTGAGCGCGGTCGCTAGAGTTTGAGCGTTTGGACGAAGAGCTTCCACCGTTCTCATCCGCGAGAACTCCTCCAGAGCTTGCGCGGCCTCGCCGTTCTCCGCGTACCCAAAGATGAGGGCCGTCCATGACACCACCGATCGCTGCTGCTGCTGACTCCGGTAGAAGATCTCGTGGGAGTTCTCCATGCTTCCACACTTTGCGTACATGTCCACCAGCGTGCTCGCGACGTAGCTGTTTGATTCGTGGCCGAGTTCCACAGCCTTGATGTGAATCGCCTTCCCGATCTCCAGAGACTTAGTCTTGACGAGCTTGCCTTCCAAAACTCGGCCTTCTTCTCTTGCTGCCAGGCCAGTGCAAGCCTTGAGCGCTGCTACGATGGCTTGCGCGTCGGGAACACAGCACTGCTCCATCGAGAAGAACAAATCCAGCGCAAACTCTGCGTCCCCGTTTTCGGTGGATCCTAGTATCATACTCGTCCAAGTCACTGCTGTTGAGGATCCCATCGCCTGGAAGACGAGCCATGCACGTACCGGAGTGCCGCACTTCATGTAAAAATCTATCAGCGTGTTCCCGACTAGAGTTCCACTCTCGAATCCACGCTGCGTAGCTTGCGAGTGGACAGACTTTCCTTTCGAAAGTGACGATGCTTTGATCTTCCTTCCTTCTGGACATACCTCCTTCAGAGCCAGATTTATGCAAGCTTTCAGCACCGCGACAAACGTAAGTTCTTCTGTAGTGCTGTGTTCGTTGTCTCGAAGCAAGCCAGCGAATAAGTTTAGAGCCCGTTCTTCGTCATCGTTCTCTGCGTAGCCGAGAAGAAGTACGTTCCAAGTCACTAGAGTTTGAGTCCCCGGAAACCTGTCGAAAACTCTCTTGGCATCAACCATGCTGCCACATCTCGCAAAAGCATTCACCAGCGCGCTCGAGATGTAAACATCTCGATCGAATCCCTGTTTTTCACATTCGCAGTCGATGGCCCTGGCCTTTTCGAGTGACAAAACTTTACCGAGCTTGTCATCGACGTCGTCTCTGGTTGCCAAGTTCGCACAAGCTTTCAGAGCTGCCAAGAAAGTCACAGCGTCGGGTGGCGGTATCATGCGTTCGAAGAGTTCCAGAGCCTGTTCTTCCAGTCCATTTTCTACGTAGGCTCGTACCATAGCGTTCCAAACACCTGTGTGACTTGATCCCCCCCGAAAAACTTCCTTCGCATCCTCGACGCTCCCACACCTAGCGTAGAAACTCACCAACGCGCTCGCAACGTAAGTGTCCGATCCAAAACCGGAGTTCGCTGCTCGTTCGTGGATAGCCTTCCCCTGTGCCAAAGCCACCACCTTAACAATCCTTCCATCGACCAGCAAATCTCCTTGTTCCTTCGCAGCTAGACTCGTCCAAGCTTTCAGAGCAGCGCAAAACGTCACCCCGTTTGGTTCACAGTCCATGCGGCCGAAAAGCTCCAGTGCCACCTCTGGTTGATTCTCCGCGTATCCATTCATCAAAACATTCCAGCAAACCAGCAGCCGAGTACTAGTCTCCATCCTGTCAAAAATCCGCCGAGCATCAAGCAAACTTCCACACTGTGCGTACATACTCACCAAGTTGGAAGCCACGAGAATGTTTGTGTCGAGACCGCTGCTAGCAGCTTGCGAGTGGACAGCCCTCCCTTTGATCAACCCCAGCTTCGATCGAGCACCAGCATTCCTTCGAGACTTTCCCAGCTTGGCGCAGGCCTTCAATCCGGCAACAAAGGTGAAAGCGTCGGGAAGCAGCCCCTCAAGCCTCATTCCTACAAAGAGCTCCAGCGCGAGTTCTTCCTCTCCGTTGGTAGCATAGCCCAGTAGCAACACATTCCACGAAACCACCGTGTGATAAGCCATCGCTTCGAAGAGCCTGCTCGCGTTGGCCATGGCGCCACACTGCGCGTACATGTTGATGAGCGTATTCGCGACGTATACGTCCGATTCCTGGCCCCTCTCGATCGCATCCGCGTGGAGCTTCTTCCCCTTGCCAAGATTCTTGGAGCTCCCACACGATTTCAGCCCCGCAAGAAGAGCCGATTTGAAGGAGCTCCTTTCTTCCTTGGAAATCTCGGGACTGCGAAGAACAGCAGCCTGTTTAGAAGAGCTATCCATGCCCGATGCCAGAGCTAGATCCAAGATTCTAAGCAGCTAGATCGCAATGCGGCGATGGCGCGGTAGCCATCGCCGCTCCTTCCCTCCAAGAACCCTAAAATATTGGAGAAGAAAATACCAAGGAAATGTTAATATGGATCGCAGCCTCTCTTTGGAGCTTCTCCAGTCATGCAAAAGTCTGTTGATCGCAAGGAGAATCGATGCAAACATCCGGGAATCTCTTCGTCCGGACGACACCTTCTTACAAAACAAGCTCGTGGAGATGTACGGAAGGTGTGCGAGCGTGAGCGACGCCGTACGGGCTTTCGAGTCCGTGAATCCAAAGAACACATTCACCTGGGTGACTATGATCTCGGTATATTCCCGCAATGGGAATCTAGCGGATGCCAAGCGCCTGTTTGATTCCATGCCGGAAGAGCATCGAGGGATTCTCTCCTGGAATGCGATGCTTTCGGCATATACCAAGGACGGGAATCACGTCAAGGCCAGAGAGATCTTTGACAGGATGCCGGAGTGGGATCTGGTCTCGCAAACTTCCATGCTAACGGCATATGCCCAATGCGGGCATATTGACAAGGCAAAGGACCTCTTTGAGAATATGCTCTTCAAGAACCAGGTGGCGTGGTGCGCCATGTTGACTACGTGCCTCCGTGCAAGTGATTATAAACTAGCAGAATATTTTTTTGAGAATATGCCAAGGTGGGATTCGGTCTGCTGCACGGCAATGCTGACGGCATATGCCCAAACAGGGCATATGTGCGAATCTCTACGAGTGTTTAACGGGATGCTTGAGAGGGATTTGGTGACGTGGAATGTGCTGTTGTCGTCGTATGCCCACGTAGGAAACGTGGAAGCGTCGGAGCATCTCTTCTATCACATTCCGCAGAGGAGCCACGTGACGTGGAATTCTATGCTAGCAGCATATGCCTGCTCTGGGCACTTGGAGGAGGCCAAGAGAGTCTTTGAAAGCATGCCAGAGTGGGAGCTAATGACGTGGAATTCTATGCTGGCGGCGTTGCTCCGTGGAGGTCTTTCCACACAAGCGTGGAGGCTTTTTAGAAGCATGCCTCAACGAAACCAAGTTTCTTGGAACACAATGCTGGCTGCCGAGGCCCAGAAGCTAGATCACTTGGAAGAATGTCGAGCTCTCTTCAATTCCATGCCAGAGCACGACACAATCTCTTGGAACTCCGTGTTGTCAGCGTGTGTTTTAAACGGGTGTTTAGAGCTTGTCAAGAGTCTCTTCGCAAACATGCCATGTAGAGATCAAATGTCATGGAACATAGTTTTAGAGGCAGTTTCTCAAAGCGGGAGATTGAGTGAATTAGAGACGCTTTTCAGCAATATGCCGCAGTGGGATAGTGTGTCATGGAACACACGACTTGCAGCAAACGCCGTAAGTGGGCATCCTGAGGAAACGAAGAGCATCTTTGACAACATGCCTTGTCAAGACCAAATTTCTTGGAACAGCCTCTTGACCGCCTATGCCAAGTTTGGAGACATTGAAAGTGCGGAGAAACTTTTCTTTAAACTTATGAAGGAACGGGATGTTATCTCCTGTAACATTATGATCTATGCATATGCTCAAAATGGTTTGTTTGAGAAAGCCAAGCAGATAAATCGATGTATGCTCCAAGGGAATCAGATTTCTTTTAACTCTATAATTTCTGTGTATGCTTTGGAATGCAATGTTGATGGAGCAAGGAGCGTTTTTGATACGATGCCCGAAAAAGACTTGGTATCCTGGACAGCCATGCTTGTCGCATATGCCCACAATGGGCATGTGGAGGAAGCCGAGAGGATATTTTGGAATATGAATACCCAGCGGAACCAGGTTTTGTGGAATGCCTTTCTATCAGCATACGCTCAGAATGGTCAAGTCTCGAAAGCAAAGAAAGTTTTTGACACAATGCCAACCCAAAACATGGTTTCTTGGTCAGCAATTCTGAGTGCTTATGCCTGTAGTGCTAGATTCAGGGAAACATTCCATGTATTTGAGATGTTTCCACTGTATTACAATGCAGATGGTACATGCTTTGTGCCTGCTCTTGTTGCTTGCAATCATGTTTCTTCCTTAGATAGAGTCAGATGCTATTTCTTGTCTATGGGTGTTGATTATGGGCTGGTTCCAACAAAGCAACACTTTTGCTGTGTGATTTATACCTTGGGAAGAACAGGCCACATCAGAGCTGCTGAAGAACTTCTGGAGACCATGCCATACGTACCAGAAAGTGTTGATTTCAAGTGTTTTATCTCTTCATGTGTTTATTACCAAAAGAAACAAGGAAACTTTTGTAACATTAAGCTCATGGATGCATCAAGCTATATCTTGGCATCAAAGAGCTCATGTCTTTCCAATTCGATGGTAGACATCGAAACTTTTATCTGATAGAGGAGATTGACATTGACTTTGTGAATCCTCAAACTGAGCTCACCCCTGTCTTCAGACCGGCGGAGCTCGCTTGCCACGTTCGGCTCGCTTACTTCCTGCTGCTCCAAGTCCACACCCGGCCTCAGCTTGTACGAAAGATGGCGTAGCTTTTCCGGCATTTGCCGCTTGGGCTGCCAGCACTCTTTGTCCCGTTTGGAATGTGGAACGGAGACAATCATGCTGGTGGAATAAGCGGCGCCGCTGTCCATTAGGTTTAATCATGGTGACCTCTTGCTTGTCAAGGAGTAAGTCTCACCAGCAATTGGATCCTCATCTTGGTTTTCCAATACTAGTGTAGCGATCTTCCCAACGTTGCACTCGCTGGCAAGCTCATGCTGCAAGAGAGAATCTATGGATTGAGTTTCCATTTTGCGGCGTACGCAGAGAGTAGTGCGTTCCATGAGACTTGATCGTGCTCGGGCAAGGAATCAACAATTAGCTTGGCCTCTTCCACATGCCTGTTTTGGGCATGTCAAACATATTCCAGGTTTCCCCGCAGAGAAAATGCGGCAATCATGGCCGTCCACAAGACGTGATTCTGGCAAGGCCGTATGCCCGTACTGGCTTTATCCCGAAAGCACGAGCTTTCGTCGCGTATGCCCGTTTGAAGCTTTGACCGGATGGGCAATGAGTGGCTTGAAGCTGGCTGTTCGCCTCACCATGTCCTGAGGAGCAGAGGAAAGTAGCACTGCGAATTGCGAGCGAGTTGAGGCCGGGTGTGAACTTGGAGCATCTGCTGCTGAGCGAGCCGAACGTAACAAGCGAGTTCCGCCTGCTTGAGAACAGAGGTTGCGAGGACTCAAAAGTCAATAATGCTATAATACAACTAGAAAGTCGTGGCACAATCATGGCTTCCTTCTCGCAAGTATCCCTCCCTTTCCAGAAGAAGCTCGAGGATGGATCGCCATTCCCGCTGGTCCTCGCTCCCGCCCATGAATCTCCCAAGGACGCTGGAGCGCTCGCTGGCGCGCTGCGAATTGAGGAGCAGCGATCGCGGCTGGAGGAATGGCTAGTCAAGAGTGGCGCGGTTTTGCTGCGAGGATTTGAGGTATGGACAGCGCAGGAGCTTGACTCCATAATCGATGCGCTGGGGTGGGAGGAGTACCCTTACTTGGAGATGGGGGGAGGGGCTTATCGAAAGAAAGTCTTTGGAAAGGTTTTCACTGCCAATGATTTCCCGCTGGATTGGTACCTTGGCTACCACAACGAGGCAGCTTATGTAAGATCTTTCTTTCTTTTTTTCTACCATCTCCACTTTTTCTTCGTGTTCCAGCTTGAGAAACCACCGGCAAAGGTCATATTTTTTGCGGAGAAACCTCCAGACGCTGGAACTGGAGGAGCCACTCCGATTGTTCCAGGTCACGTCGTTTACAAGCGAATTCTTGAGAGAGATCACTTAGCAAAGCAACTTCTCGACAAAGGACGCATTGTTCACTGCTCTTTCTTAAGCGAGAACGCCTGGAAGTCACGACTTTCAGCCGGTGACAAGCAATCTGCCGAGATCAAGTAAGAAACGTCCTCTGTTCAAGTTTAATCCGTGGGGCTCACTCATCAAAGCTTTCTTTCGATGATACAGGGCCGCGGAAAAGAACATTGGTCTGACTTGGCTTCCGGACGGAGGAGTGTTTCTCGAGAGAAAACCAGTGGCTCCCTTGTTTAGAAAGGACACGGCTGGAAGGATGGCATTCTTCTCGGCCCTTGGTTTCTTCGTGGAGGTCCGCAAGAAGCACAAAGATTTGCCAGCAACAACGCTCAAATTTGAAGATGGAACGCTGCTCGAAGATCAAGCTGCCAATGAACTCGTGGAGATAATGCTTGAGGAAGAGGTGGCGTTTCCATGGGAGAAAGGTGACATCCTTTTAGTGGACAACTCTGCTGTTCTACACTCAAGGGAGAAATGCTTGTCCAGGGAGCGACAAATTCTTATTTCTCTTGCTTCATGAGTATCAATATTTCTTGGTGTAATTGGTCCTCTTGCTTCATGAATATAAATATTTATTGGTGTAATTGGTCTTTGAGTTGTTGATTCTTTCATAAAATGGTTAAACAATTCTAATTATTGTATCTATATAGGAATTTTTTATGACAAACTAATGGATTAAATCATGGGATAAAAGGAAAAATGTTTATTAAAAGATTTTTTAAAATATTTAATATTTAATTATGTAACCTTAAATAAATTTTTAATAATCTAGATAATTTCTTTTGGTTTTTATGTTTAAATCAAGTACCAAAATATAACATAAAGTAATTTAGTGATTTGGGATTTATTCCATACCTGAAGTCGAGCAGAAAATCAAAGAAATATCCTGAATTATTGAAAACATTTTTGAAGTCACATTCTTTTAACATTAAAATAAAATAATGTTAATATTAATATTTTTTAAAAAACCTTGTGCTTAAAAAAAAATATTAATTGTGAAATTTAAATTTAATAAATTATATATATAGCATTATATTTATTTGCAATTAAATATTTTGCAATATAAAACTATGATTTATTAGCTCCCTTTTGCATATCAGATTGCACGTTTTCTGCATTCTCATGGACATTTATTAATAGAAAAGTGTCAAATAACAAAGAAGCATGGAAATTCTTCATTATTTATTGAACTATTAGATCTTGTCTCAAGCAATGACTGACAGAGGGGAATTGAAGTGCTTGTCTTCCTAGCACTAGTTGTTCTCAAGCGCACAAGAGGGAATTCGTACCTTGCTCATGATTGACACATTGCTTCTCACTCTCCAGCCAGCACCTTCCAATGCTTGTGCTACCTTGTACTTTGTTACGTTGAAGTATTGCTTTGCAAAAGCATTGCTGCACTCGCATGGCTGCAGAGAAACAGTTCTAGGGTACTAATTCTGCACGCTTGCGACCTTGAAACAGCTGCTTTTTGGAGCAGCTGTTGTAGTAGTGGCGATGATTTTGCAGTTGTAATTGTTCGTGGTGGTGTTCCAGGCCAAGAAGCAAGCAAGTGAGACGCTCCATTTTGGCCTGGTTGATCACTACCCCGTCGAAGAAGCTGAAATTGGAAAAGGTTTATGGAGGAGTCTTATAGAAGAATGTACTCTGACTATAGCTTGGAGTAAATATTAGCTAGCTGCACAAATGCAGCTCCATGCTTTGGATTCTGGCCAACAACAAACCTAGTTGCATCAATGGCTTGCTTGAGCTCGTTCTTCCCGGGCCTCAAGCAACTCCTTAGAAAACAGATCCATTCATACTCATCAGGCACAAAAGGCATGTTTGTAATGAGGTCCTCACCATCTAAGAGTCTCCCAGACCTGCAAAGAACATCGATCAAGCAACAGTAGTGCTGCTTTGTAGCAGCAACCTTATAGTCCTGTCTCATGGACACGAAGCAATCCTTGGCGCTTGAAACATTCCCGTCGTGTGCGCAAGCGAGCAAGAAGGCCACGAAACAAGTCGAATCCGGAACCTCCACCACCCTCATCACATCAAACACATCAAACGCCTCCTTGGAATGCCCGTTCCGGGCATAAGTGGAGAGCATAGCCGCCCAAGTCATGGTGTTCCTCTTGGGCATTGTGTCAAAGACATGCCTGGCTTTGGAGATGTTTCCATTTTGCGCGTACGCAGACAGTAGCGCGTTCCATGACACTTGATCTTGCTCGGGCAAGGAATCAAACATCACCTTGGCCTCTTCCACATGCCCGTTTTGGGCATACGCTCCCAGCATGGCGGTCCAAAGCACGAGATCCAGCCGTTGAATCTGATCAAACATACATTTCGCCTCTTCCAGGTTTCCCCGCAGGGAAAACGCGGCAATCATGGCCGTCCACGAGACGTGATTCTGACACGGAATCGTGTCGAAGATCTCCCGAGCGGAGGCCGTATGCCCGTACTGGGCATATCCCGAAAGCATCAGCGTGCACGACACCATGTCGTGCTCTCTCATGCCATTCAGCACCATCCTGGCGTCTACTAGGCGGCCAGCGTGGACGAATCCAACCAGCATGGCGTTACACGACACTATATTCCGCTGTGGCATGTCATCAAACACGCGCTTTGCCTCGGTGACGTGTCCGGCGTGCGCGAAGGCCGACAGCATGGAGTTCCACGTCAGCATGTCTCTCTCGGGCATCCCGTGGAAGACACACTCGGCTTTCTCCAGATGCCCTGACGTGGCATACGCTGCCAGCATGGAGTTCCACGTCACTTGGTCGTGAAGAGGCATCGTGTCGAACATACGCTTGGCGTCGTCGCGTTGGCCGTTTTGCGAATACGCAGCTAGCATGGTATTCCAAGTTACATCGTTCCTTTCCGGTATCAAGTTGAAAGTCTTCTTGGCGTCGTGAAGATGCCCGTTTTGGGCATATGCCGCAAGCATTGCGTTCCAAGAAATCTGGTTTTGCAATGGCATCGATTCAAACACTCTCCTCGCTCCAAACACATCCCCGTTTTGTGCAAATGCCGAAAGCATTGCATTCCAAGAGATTAAATCCCGCTCTGGCATCGTTTCAAAGATCTCGCAAGCTTCATCCAGATGCCCAACTTGGGCATATGCAGAGAGGATGCAGTTCCAGGAGGCCTGGTTTTGCTGCGGCATCTGGTCGAAGATGGCTCGCGCGTCTCTGACTCGCCCGCCGTGCACAAACGCCGCCAGCATCGAGAACCACGAGACGAGATCCTTCCCCGGCAGCCGATCAAACACGAGCTTGGCCTCTCTTAATTGCCCCCGCTGGCCGAACGCCGAGAGGAGGAGGTTCCACGAGAAGCCATCGCGCTCGGGCATGGCGTCGAACACCTGCCGGGCATCGTCCAGGCGCCCGTTGGAGGCGTAGGCGCAGAGCATGGCGCCCCAGGAGAAGGTGTTCTTGGCGGGCATGGCGTCGAAGAGCCATCGCGCGCGCTGGGGGCTGCCGCACTTGCCATACGCCTCGATGAGCTTGTTGGCGAGGAAGACATCGCCCTGGAGCTCGCGGCGCGCGCGCTCGTGGATCTGGATCGCGTGAGAGAGGCTCGCGCAGCGCTGGATCGACTCGAGGCACCCGTTGCGGTCCGCAAACCCTGGTCCCATTCATCACTTCGTGTTGACTGGTGGATTTGACTGGGAGTTGACTCTTTCCGGCGGCAATGCGAATTGATGGTTGACTATCTTACGACCGTTGACTAAGATCCAGTCAAACGAAGCACTGCTCTGTTTTCCACGTGGGGGATTTCTGTAGACATTGCGGCCCACTGGGCCAATAATTTCCACCAAATTTCTATTTGGGATTCATCAAATTTTTCTGTGTCTGGACAGAAGTGATCGATCGAATCTGTTCTATCCAGATGTTATTCCGCTACTGTAGTGGCCAGAGCCGCCACTCTCTTGACGAGCTGTTCTCGATTCGCGCCCACAATCCGGCCGATCGCCTCCTCGTCCTTGATGAACACGAATGTGGGCATTGCCTTGACCTCCAATCGAGTGGCAATTTCCTGTGGATTTGATGTTTTTGGTCAGATAGAGCGAGTGTTAGGAGCAACCAACTGGATCATGAGATCATGAATGGTAGAGATGGAGATAGAGAGAGGTCATGAATGGAGATGGAGATAGAGAGAGGAGTGGTAAAAGATCTGGGGGGAAAAAATATCTAGGCTGGGGAGCTTTTCTGGTCTTCACTTACCTTGAGCTCATCCACGTCCACAGTGAGGAAGATGAGCTTGAGGAATCGCGTGGACGCCTCGCGGAATGTGGAGGCCATGTACTTGCAAGGGGCGCACCAATCCGCGGAAAAGTGCGCCACAATCTAAGATACGATCAAACAGAGAAGACGACGAACAGTTAAAACCTCTCGCAAGAGAGAAAGGAAAGGAGCAAAAAGAAAAAAAAGAAAAAAAAGAGGGAGAATCTCAATCTCTATATTCACGAGTGCTAGACAAGGTATTCGCTGGGAAGATCAAAAACAGGGGGAGATCAATCAAAGCGAGGGGGAGAGAAGCCATTTTTGCTTACGATCGCGTCTTGTGACTTGGCTTGCTTGAGAATTCCGTCCCAATCCGAGATAGATTCCACCATCACTACCCGCGACGCCATGGAAACAATGTGAGCAAATGCGCGAGTGGTTGGCTCGTTGAAAACCAGTACTCTTAGGCGCCGTCCCACATGGACCACGGAGGACTTTATAAAAGCACACAAAGTGGATCATTTTGGATGAGACATTCCGTATGAAGAAACGCATCGTCCGTCAATCTCTGGAGCATATTCTGTTTGTGAGGCACATTCCGGCTGCCGTATATTCCTGGCATATTGCCGGGTGGGAGCTTTAGGGTTCTTCGCGAGATGGAGTGTATCTTCGGCTTCGTGGGCGATGGCTTCGTCATTCTTGGCGCCGACACCTCCGTCGTGCAGAGCATCGTCGTGCAGAAGACGACCGAGGACAAGATCTTGCAGCTCGACTCGCACAAGCTCATGGCGACGAGCGGGGAAGCCGGTGATAGGTGAGCTCGATCACTCCATAGATCTAGGGTTAGTGAGAAATTCTTCTACAGGGTCATCTTCTCGGAGTACATCCAGAAGAACATCAACCTGTACAACTTCCGGAACGGGATTCCGCTGTCCACGGCCGCGGCCGCGAGCTTCACTCGGAACGAATTGGCTGTGGCGCTTCGAAAGGTATTTCTTGTGCTAGTTCTTTCCCTGGAGCCTTGAAGATCTTTGTTTCAGAACCCATACTATGTGAACTTGATGCTCGGAGGATTTGACAAGGGCAAGGGGCCATCGCTTTACTTCATGGATTACATCGCCACTCTCCATCAGCTGGAGAAGGGAGCCGTCGGCTATGGTACGTAGAACTCCTTTCTCGTTTTCTTGCTTTCTTCGTTATGATCATGGTTTGTTCTCGCATTTTCTTCGACGCGATCATAGAGTTCTCTTGTTCGTTCTTAGTGGTTTTCACTTTCGTTTGTTCTCGCATTTTCTTCTACGTGATCATAGTTCGTTTGTTCTCTCGACGTGATCATAGAGTTCTCTTGTTCGGTTTTCACTTAAGTTTGTTCTCGCATTTTTTTTCTACGTAGTGGTTTTTTTGCTTGTTTATCTGATTCTATTTCTTGTCCTGGTCAGGAGAATTTTGTATCGCTGCTTTGGTTCTTCCCATCGCTTTTGCTGATGCTCGCTCGTTTCAATCGCAGGAAGTTACTTCGTGTTGTCGGTCATGGACAAGTACTTCCGCAAGGGGATGTCGGTGGAAGAAGGGATGGCTCTCGCTGACAAGTGCATCGCAGAGATCCGCAAGCGATTGATCGCCTCGCCTCACAGCTTCGTGCTCAAGATCGTGGACAAGGACGGCGCTCGAGATCTTGCGTGGAGGAGCCTGGAGCCAGCTCCTTCAGCGGGACCTCCTCCGGTTATCAATCCGGGAGAGGCATCCACATCCATGCAAGTCCAAGGCTGATCCTCCGTTCACTTTGTTCCTCCAAAACACGGTAAGAAAGCGAGCTTCTAAGTTGCTTTGAGTGACTCGTCCTTGATTTTTCTGTAGATTGCGCAGAGCCGCGAAGGTTTGAATACCTGGAGCACACAAAAAAAAAAGTTCTTTTTTTTTCTCCGAGGCCGGGAATTCTCATACCTTGGCTTTAAACATGAAGTTTGGAGGTACATTGATGATCACGTAGTTCTCCTTGTCGTGATGATACTTCTCGAATTCCTAGCCACAAAGAACAAGCTTAGCTATGGCGATATCTCATGCTAGTGAAAGAAATGGTTACCTGGGGCATGCCGTGTGTGGTGCTCGGACTCCATGGCACCGGCTGGAAGAGCTCTCCGAGAAATTCCACGCCGCTGGTCTCCGAAATCCCTGCTTCTTTCGCGACCTGGTCGATGAGGATGAATCCATGAGGCGATCGATCGAGAATTTCGTGCCAGGATCACCTGTTTGCAAAATGCTTCCGAGCTCAAGAGGCTTCGCAGCGCGCTATCCCGCTGGAATCGCACCAATCTCGCGGATTTAGCTTCTCCTAGAGCGAAGGAACCATACCTCGGCGTCGAGCTCCACGGCGCTATCGTAGGATTCGTTGATCTTGAACCCCATCGCCAGGATTCTCGCTCGCCTTGCGTGGATGCACGATTTCTTCCAGGCCGCGCATCGTTGCGAGGACGATGTTGACCTGGCGCTAGCGTCATGGCGATAGAATCGCAGCGTGGATGAGGGAGGAGGGAGAAAGAGAGACGCCATAGCCGCTCGTTAGCCACGAAATATTTCTTTTCAAAGCTCTGGGGGGGCCTTGTCCTCGAGTGGAACGTTTTAGGTCCCACAGAGTAAATGGTATCCACAATCCAGCTCCTGGACCGCATCGCCCCCCATGGCGCGCTGCCGCAGTCCACAATCCTCGTGAGGTTTGGCGCTCCTCGTCCGCGATCGATCGATCGATCCAGGCCGTTTTTAGGGTTCCTGGCGCTGTGAATCGTCGTCCCGATCGCGCTCCAGCGGCGCATTGCTGCTGATCATGCGATTGCCGCGCGCGCGGAGCCAGCTATGGGCGTGCTGTCGAGATTTGTGAAGAGCGGCGAGCGGAATCACGAGGTGTTTGCGACGTGGGTAGCGCTAGGGATTCTCTTCCTCTACTGGTGCCTGGGATTCATTGTTGCGAGCGTCAAGAGGATCTTTGGAAGGAAGGACAGGGCATCCAAAGCGCGATCGTGGTAAATTTATAGCGCTTGTCTCGTTGGTGGTTTTCATTTCTCTTTTCTTTGGCAGTGTTGAAACAAGCGGTTGTCCCGCGACAGCGTTGGAAAGCTTGATAAAGGAATCGGAGCTGCGAAAGCTCCTAGAGGAGCTAGACGAAGTCGATCAAAGCAGTGGTAACTGGAGCGTTGTTCTTGACAAACGCAACGATGGTGTCTCATATTTTGCAAAGCGTCGTGAACCAAAGGTGACAATTCAATCTCTGACACTTCCAACGTTCTAAGTTTTCGATTTTCTTTCATCTTCTCTTTGGTGGGCAGGACGGAGGGCCGACCGAGTATCTCAGCACTACAACCTTTGAGAATTGCACGGCCGAGTTGCTTCGCGATTTTTACATGGACAACGAGTTTCGTTTGCAGTGGGATAGCACGGTTTTGAAGCACGAGCAGCTGACGTTGTGTCTCAAATCCGGAACGGAGGTCGGCCGGACTGTGAAAAAGTTTCCGCTGATGATGGCGAGAGAATACGTTCTCGCGTGGAGGCTTTGGAAAGCTGCGGAAAACACATACTTCTGTGTCATCAAGGTATCCTCTCCGGTTGGGTTTTTGTTTTTGTATCTATGAGCTTTTCTCTCAGGCTTGCGAACATCCTGCTGCTCCAAGGCGACAGGAATTTAAGCGGGTCAAAGAGTACCTATCGGGCTGGAGAATTCAAGCAGGTTAGAGTACTCTGGCTCTCCAGATTTCTCACGTTTTATGGTATGCCTTTTCTCTAGTTCCTGGCAGCAATGCTTGCGAGGTGAAAATGCTTCACAGGGAAGACATTGGCGTCGGGAAAGAGATGGCAAAGATGGCCTTCTCTCGCGGCATCTGGAGCTACGTCAACAAGATGGAACACAACTTACGAGCATACAAGAGCTCCGGCTTGGACAAAAGGCGCAAAGCAAAGCCCGACGCGGTGACTCTTTGCAACGAGGTATGAGACGCAGTGTGTATCTTCCATTGCTTGATTCGTGGTTTTCACAGATACCTTTGGAGCTCCAAAGAAAGGACTTCTCCGCTAGCTCACGCTCGCATAGCCAAAGCTATGGTGGCGGCAGCTTAGATCGAGCAAGCCAGAATCGCAGCGATCGTCACAAACCAGTGAGTTTCCTGATGCAAAGTGTATTTCTTCTAGGCTGGGCGGTGGTGCTCGGCCATGGTTCTAGTTCTATAGGTTCCAAGGTCGCGGCTGCCGTGTTTATGAACAAGGCTGTGCGGCGAAGAAGGCAGCCACCGCGAGGAGGCGGCCAGCAACCATGTCGCTACATTTCCAAGAGCTTTTCGATCCATCGCTAGTGTTTGATCCGACGCTCAAAATCCTGCCACGACTGCGGCTGCTTACGTGGCCCTAATACCAACTAGGCCCTTTTCTTTTACCTTTACATTTCCCACGCTTTCCCTTTAAATTTTATTTAGGGCTCTTAGGCTATGGCGAGGGCTTTGAGGAAGATTGGGTAAACGTCAGCTCCAGCGTTTCTGTTCACTGGAAAAGAAGGAGCCAAGGTACGTTTCTGATCGCGATTCATCCGATTAGAGCCGATGTTCCGGATCATTGAACTCGTCCTCGATCTGCGTGACGAGGATCGACTGAAGATCCTCTGGCGGAGATAGTCCCGGGGGGCAGCTTTGTACGCTACTCCGAGAGAGCTTCCAGAGCCGCCGGGAGTACTTTCAGGATGGAAGGCTGGAGTTCCACAGGAAAGATTGTTCCCGGCACTATGGCTGCCAGCGCTCGAAACAGAGAGGAGATGTTCCGGTCGAGGATGTTTCTATGGATCCCATTTCTGGATCGCCTCTCGAGGAGGCACTTCTCAAGCACGGATTCTAGGTGCCGGCTTTCGGATCCTCCAGAAGAAAAGCTCTTGCAAGAGTTCCCGGAATTGCAGTCGAGAGCAAGCTTGGAGTTCTTGGAAACAATCCAGTTTGTGCGATGATCTCCTATCCTGGTACGTGTGTTTCCTTTCTTTGTTCTTGATTCGTGATTGTTTTGTCTTGCAGTTGTATCGTCGCTAAAGTCGGCTCTTGACAGGAGTGATGCGGATCCCGAAGAGGCAGAGAAACGCTACAAAGATGTGCTCGTGGCTTACGAGTATGTTTTCGAGGAGGAGATCAGCCGTGAAGTGCGAGAGAAAGCAGCCTTGGAAGACGTGACCGGGTCTGCGCTGCGAACCAGCCATGGATTTGCGTATTGGCGTGACGAGAAGAACCAGAACTATGCGAAGAAGATCGTGGCGGCTTTCGGGATTTCAGTGACAGTGATTTCATCTGCAGCGTCGGCAGGGTCGTGGCCTCCAACAACACCATGATAATGATTGCAACTTCACTGTCTTCGCTGCCTGGATCCCGCTAGTAAGTTTCGCAGTTCTTATTTCTTGCACTAGAGACCGATTTTCTTCCTGGCGCGCAGTTTCTTCCGGAGTTCACGGAGTTGACGTTCGTCGGTGTTTGGTCTGGAACGCCGGCTTGTGTCGATGGACATTACAGTCTAGCGACGTCTATAGACCATCCAGGTTTCATGCTCTCGAGTACTTCAGGTATTGACATTGTCATCTGATCGTCTCGCTCATGGGTGCTTTCATGCGCAGGGATGTGATCAACGAGATTCCACTGCCTGATTCGAGCTACTGGCACGATCGCGAGTGTGCTCCTTTCCGGCGCTGGCTTGGACACCATCTTCGCTTGATCGTGTCGAAGTTCCCGGAGGAAACTTGGAGCAAAGCCCGGCGCGCATGGATTGAAGAAGCAAGGGAAGGAAGCTCGATCCATTTTACCACTCGCGGTAAGTTCTTCTTTTTGTTTGACTAGCGAAGAAAATGCGAGAAGTTTATCTGTAGATAGAACTAATTCTAATGCGTTGTTAGCTTATCTAGTTCTCCCTAGGGCGACCGCCTTTTAAGTATCGCGGCAAACAAATGTGACTCGCTCTTTTCTCCTCCCACGCTCGCGATTCTTTTGCCCTGATCGTCCTTATTTCGTTGCCGCCACGCCTAGGTCGGCGATCGCGTCGCCCGGGCGATTCCTTTCCTGCATTGCCGCGACTCGTCGGCTGATCGCGGCGCCCGATCGGTGAGCTTCACGATCACGCAAGCGCCGAGCTTTCTTTCTTTCTCGTTTCTTTCTTGCCTCCTCTCAACAATGGCTGCGCGGTCGCGATATTTGCCCTGATCGGCCGGACCGCTTCCCTCGATCGCGGCCCGATGCAGATTGTATGGGGGAAGAGCATGAGCAAGAGGGAGGATTCCGGGGAGCTCGAGCGGGAGTACGAGTCCGTTCTTCTGGACAGGCAGGAGATTTGCCTCTACGATTTCATCCATCTCAGGTCCCGTGACCCGGAGCTCCCGTTTGTGGGCCTCGTCGTGCGGCTGTGGGAGAATCGCATCACGAAGAAGGGAAATGTGGTCGTTCGGTGGCTCTATCGGCGCGAAGATCTCGACATTGAGGTGGATGCCGGCGACCAGGAGCTCTTCCTGGCGCTCGGCAGTGGGAATGGCGCCGAGGACTCCAACGATCTGGTATGTATGAAAACATTAGTTTTTTTTGCTTCGCCGTTCACGATTCTTGTCCTGCCACCCAGAATGTCGTGGAGGAAAAGTGTGCGGTTAAAGTCTTGTACTGCCCAGAAGGAGTTGCGAACTGGGCGCCCACGAAGGAGGAAATTAGTGGAGCTCGCTACTACGTCTCGAGGTGCTACGATTTCCTTCTCGGAGAAGTTCATTGCAATCTCAGAGAAGCGCTAGAGCGAATTGGAGGTGAGTCGGATAGACAAAGAGTTTATGTATGTTGTTTATAGTTTAAAGCTGCTTTGTGTTGAACGGTGTTTCTTACAACGCAGCTGTGAAGAAATGCCCACGGAGGCCGGCGGATGATCGTCTGGAACGTCCAGTGAAGAAAAAACTGGTTGTGACCCACGAAGCCGCTCCACAGGTGATTTTCAAGTTTTGCTTTCTCATTGACCTTGCAGCAGAAGCCTGTGCCGGTTTCAACGCAGGAAACACGACCAGAGAAGGAGAAGCGTCCGGCGCTCAAGAACGCGTTTAAGAAGCTGGGATGGAACGATAAGCTGGACGAAGCATTCGACAAAGGCAATGTCATCATGCTGATGGGATTTGGCACTGGTTACACCTCTGAAGAGCTGAAGGTACTCTCAGAAATCACGGATGTCTTCTTGCTGAAGTTCTATGCAGGAAGCCTTGGTGTTCCTTTTCAAAGACATTCGAGCGGATGTGGAAGTTGCTGTTGTTCCGCCAAAGTGTTGCAAGTTCGAATCAAAAAGAGGTAAGCGATCCGCAAATAGCTTACTACTACTGATGCAACCGGTGATTCGACCAGGAGAAGCGGTGCTAGCCTTCCGAGATGCCGACAAAGGCAACCGCGTTTTGAAGACTATCCAGGAAAATTGTGTGATCTTATCAGAAGAGGAGGGGTATATTGTTCTCTTTCTTGCTTTCACGCTTTGAATCTACTTTGTGTTGTGTATGCAGGCCTTGTATTGCAACTGCGGTGGAACGACCAAGAGCAAAAAAGTTTCCTGGACATCTTCCTGTTGAGAAGTACTGGCGGGTGCAGACGGAAAAATTTGTAAGCCTTCTTTTAACTCCTCAAGTAAACCAGGCACTTAATCGCGTTTTGCAGAAAGAGGCAGTCTCCACAGCACACTGTTCCCAGCCGAACACCATCGAATACGAGATGGCACTCGAGTGGCGCCTCATGGATGAAGAGCACAAGTTGCAGATACAAACATTGAGGAAGGTAACGCCCGTAGTAGATTTTTGTTTTTTCGCCGATATTTATGTGAAAAACAATGCGCAGCAACAAGAACAAGAGGTGGCGGATCTCAAGGCAAAGCTTAGAATCACCAAAATATCGTAACGAGCGTCACTGAAGGTAAAATCACTTTCCAAAGCTCTTCAATCGTTTCTCATTTTCTCAATGTAGGTGATCGTCCCAATAGCTAGACTTGACTGAGATATAAGTAAATGAGGTTGTAAGTAGTGCAGGGATCTCCAAATGGCCCTCCATTTTTGTTGATAGTGCCGGTAAGAGTTACGCTAAAGGTTTTAACAAATTTTTGCTTATCTCCAGCGCAAGAGAAAACTATGGGAATTTTCATTAAGTATCCGTATTATAAACGTGGCACTACAGCAAACTGCCACACGGCTATAACGCGGTGTCAATCGCGTCCGATGGGATTCCCAGCTGGACGACTGTGAGTTTGCCACGAAAGGGCAAGTATAAAGCGAGGCGCAGTTGGATCAATTTGGTCTGTTAGCGGGTTTTCTTCGCGGGAGGTAAAATTCAGGTATGTCTCTCATGATCCGTGTGGATTCCTATTTCTTGCTGGTGGGTTTGAGAATCCGTGTCCTTGCTATGATGGGCGAATGGGTTCTCTGGACTTGTTTCTCGAAAGGGTTCTAACAAGTCGTTCTTGTGTTCCAGGGCTAGAGCTTTCGGGAGCTGCTACTGTTGAGTCGGTGAGAATTCCAGCTAGGTACACAAGAATGCAGTGGTTCAAAGGGCGTTCGTCGTTCATTATTGGATCGGATAAATGGATGGGAGGTCAGAAGAGTGATAGCATCGCCGCTTTCGAGCGCTCTAACAGTCTGCCTTCTCCGGCACCACCGGAGGGTGTTACAAGAGAAGTGAACGGTATCCCGTCATCAGCAAAAGACGAGGTCGCTCAGTATGATCCGACAACGGGTCTGAAGGTGAGGTCTCCAACGCGTGACGAGAACTTAGACAAAGTTGCGGGAGCGACTTCGAAGCTCTATCCAGATATATATCAGCCTCCTTCTTCCAAGGGTGCAGAGACTAGTGATGCCAAAGAGCCTCCTGTGGTGGAAGCATCTGAGGAAGTGCTGGTAAAGATCCCGGGGTGTCTGGCGCATCTCATCGACGAGCAGGAAAGTGTTATTCTGGCATCTGGCGAGTTCGTCCTGGTGAAGCTGCTGCAAAACGGTACAGACGTGGCGCTGTTCGCCAGAGTCGGTGATGAACTCCAGTGGCCCGTTGTGAACGACTTGCCTGCTACAAAGCTCGATCCATCGCACTACGTGTTCTCGCTGCGTGTGGAAGCCGACGACGACGAGAAGCCGCCCAAGGATTCGAAGGCAACTGAGACTCTCAACTATGGAGTTACGTTCCAAGTTGACGGCAACAAGGAGCTTCTCAGAGAGCTTGACAAGATCTTGGAACAGTACAGCTATTTCTCCGCTCCAACCATGCTCCAGGGCTCGGAGGAAGATGTAAAGAAGGTGGATGGAGGCAAGGTACCTGAGGCGTCTTCGCGAGAGGTGGTGAGCTCGGACCTCCCTGGCAAGCCGGTTCCAACGGACGCTATCACCGAGAAGAAGCCATCCGACGAGGTTTCTACAGCTTACTGGACGACCATTGCTCCCAACGTAGACGACTATAACAGCAGCCTGGCTCGAGCGATTGCCGGCGGAACCGGGCACATAATCAGGGGGATTTTCTGGTGCAGTGAGACGACAGTCGCGAATTTGGAGAGGACTGGACGGCTTGTAAGGCGTGTTTCAGGAGCCTGCGGCAAGCCATCTGAGGTGAGCCCGCGGACAATGAGGAACATTCGCAGGTATGTCTCGTGTTTTTTCTTTCCAAGGTTTTGTTCTTTAGAAAAGCTAACGTTTCTTTGATGATCCATCAGAGCCAAGAGGGTGACTAAGATGTCGGAGAAAGTAGCGAAGGGAGTCCTCACGGGTGTCGTGTCAGTGACTGGATTCTTTACAACCTCGATTGTAAACTCGAGGGCGGGGAAGAAATTCTTCAAGATGTTACCCGGCGAGATTGCTCTCGCGTCTTTGGACGGTTTCGGTACGTGCTTAGTTGACACTGATGTACTTCGTCTAACTGGATGTTCCTTCTGCTTCGCAGGAAAAATCTTCGACGCTGTTGAGGTCGCTGGAACAAACGTTCTTAACACAAGCTCTGTGGTGACAACCGGGGCAATCTCTCACAGGTATGTTTCCTCTCTTCGTGAAATAAGGATGCATTTTCAAGTTGGGCCTGGAAAATGACGAACATCTTCCTCGCAGATTTGGAGACAAGGCTGGCGAGTTTGCGCACGAAGGCCTGGCCACCGCCGGCCATTTAGTCTCCACGGCATGGACCATTTCCAAGCTGCGCAACGCCATCAATCCCAAGAGCGTGATGAAGCCAACGTCTGTGCTCAAGACCGCCGCCAAGGCGGCCTCTCAGGGGATCGAACCCAAGCGCTAGAAAAAAAACCTATGTGGCTTGTGTGCATAATAACAGGACACGATCAAATAGAGAATAGAAATTCAATGGTTAGGAGTTCCATGGTTTGCGCCCAAATATATTCTTTTAATACTACACACAGTTTCTTTTAACACTACACCTAGCCTCCACATGACAAGAGAATGACACTGTACGCTCTTCTTATCCTTGGCTTGTGGGGTCGAATCAAAGAAAAATCGCTTGGCGGGTCCACATGGCACGCGGGCATTGGGTGGGAAGAGACTATCCATGCCAGGAAGGGGCAACAAACACTAATTTTTTCTAAGAAGCAAACTGGATCGCATGGCAGTTTTGAGAGGGATTTGCGGGAGTGGCTTGCTGCTGAGGGATCCAGCGCGTGGGAGCTCCGCTTTCTTGGGGGTCCCGGTTCTAGCGGCTAGATCTCCGCGAGTTTCCAAGGTCCGGGGAGGGGGGATTCGAGCTGTCAAGACCGAGAAGGTGGGAGTAGACTATGTCGAGATTCTGCCGTCGGGTGAGTGGCCCGAGAATTTCTCCATGCTCAACTTTGAGGATCTCTCGCTCCACTTCGCGCCCACGCTCTTCAAGGCCGAGGTATAATTTGCAGAGAGCTTTGTTGGAGCTTTGGAGTTGATGGAGTTTGATCTTGTTCCAGGCTCAACCATCAACTCTCCTCGCGGATGTGATGTCCGGGCTTCGCTTCTCGGCGGCGCAGGACGATCTTCTCGAGGCGATCGAGCACTGCTTTGACGAGGTTTCTGGAGTTCCTGTGCTGGACGAGGAGCGCAAGTGTATTGGAGTGGTGTCTAGAAAGGACCGAGACAAGGCCACCAACGGGGTAATATAAAAACTCTCAAACAGTCTCATCTAAGAAATGTGTGCATCTTTCCAGCTGAAATCGCCAGTCTCTGAGGTGATGAGCTCACCAGCAATCACATTATCTGCCGACAAAACTGTTTCAGGTGAATCAAAAGCTTCATTGAATTTTTTTTTCTTTTTATTGAAGTTCTTTTTCTTTTTTTTCTAAGATGCTGCTGTTATCATGCTTAAGAAGAAGATCCATAGGATCCCTATAGTAAACGATTCCAACGCAGTCATTGGTGAGTAGTAGTTTAGCTTGAAACTTCTTACCGTCTTTGTCTATTGTGCAGGCATGGTCACCAGGACGGACATTTTCACAGCACTGGAGGGAAAACATGAATGATATCTTAGATGTAATTACAGACCTAACTTCTTTAATGAACGTGCATTGGTCAGTCAAGCACAAACTTTCATCTTGGAGGCATTATCTTGGGAGTATTAATATGTGTCAATAAACATGGATTGAGCAGATTATAATCTTTTACAATATTTATGAATCATATTGGGAAAATCACTTTACGCAATTTCGATAATTCCAGACATTGATCATTCATCCTAAAACCATAAAACCAGGGGAACCTCAACAAAAATAAGATATACATTCTGAAAACTATCTAAATATTTTCTCCATAGCCCAGTGTTGTGGATAGCCTCAAGGATCTAGAGCTTCTACAAGTTGTGAACAAGTGATATAATGCCTTAATATTTACTCATAAACCTAAAACTTCATACATTGACTCATCCGAAACTCAAAAGAAAATTGAAGCTTACATTTTGAACGACTTTTGATTTCTCCGTGTGAAAGGCTTGTTGGAGCCCGGATCCAATTCCTTGAGATGCATTCAGCCTTGATACAAGCATCTTGTAAACATTTCCAAAAACCAAAAAGAGAATCAACATGGGTAAGTCAAGCATCTAGAGCTTTAACAGCACTTTTGTCAACCCCTTCCATATCATAGCTTTGATATGGAAGGGGTTGACAAAATGTTGTCATCTAGATCAGGTTGCATTGTTGACTTACTTGATTACAACCCAAAAGAATGCCCATCAGATTTACTAGCCAAATTTATCTGCATGAGATGTGTGTGCACTTATTTATTCTTTTAAAAACTTTGTCCTTGTGCTTCAAAGCTTATCAATATAATTAAAGTCTTTATTACAGTTTTACTGAAAGAAATTCTTCCATGGGAGCAATTGAGTGCCACCACTAGGCATGGATTTCATTATAGTTCGACTCTGTAGACCTAAGATGGTGATAGCTATGGTGCTCAGTGTTACGAACACGGCCGGGATCCCGGCCGTGTTCACCGTGTTTCACGAACACGGCCATGGGTCGTGTTCCCACGGCCGTGTTCGTGAACAGTGGTCCGTGTTACCAACACGGACCACTGTTCAGAATATTCTCGTGCGGAATATTCTGGTTTTAGGGCGCACGGCATCACACGACAATCCAGCCAGGGCGCACCATTTCAGGGCACAGCAGCAGCAATCCAAGGCAAACAAGAGGAAGATGGAGATGATGTCGAAGATCGTGAGGTCGAAGATCATGAGGTTGAAGATGACGATGAGATGCAGGATATTTGAGTAGTTTAAAAGTGTGAAGTAGTTTATGTGATAAAATATAGCATATTCCTATAATAATATAATAAGAAATAGAATATAATTTTTAAATAACATATTCTTAGAATATTCAGTAGAATATTCGTGAGCCATCGTGGCCGTGATCGTGTTCCGTGTTCGGGTTCCTGAAATCTGAGGCTCGTGTTCGTGTTCCGTGTTCGTGTTCGTAACTATGATGGTGCTGGTTTACATCCCACAACATGCATTGACTTTATTAGGTAATATAATACTTGAATTGATGACATAAAAGTTTTGAGATCCAAGTGCTTAGAAAGTAGCCATAGTGACTCCAATAGATATATTCCTTTTTCTTCTAGAAGGAAAAACAGCACTTTTACTTTTGCATCAACAATTTTAAGCTTCCAAGGGTTCAAAATATCTTAGACTTTCATTCTTCTACAGTTTAAGAAACACTTTACTAAATTAATAATTAACACTCAAATTGTATTCAAAAATAAAATAAAATAATTTACCTTAATCTTATTTTGTACATGAAGGATGGTTAAATGTATTTGATGTCCATAAAACATTATTAGGAAATTGAGTTAAATAAATTACTAAGTTACAATCATTTTGAACTGTTAAAAGTACAGATAACATACATAATGGTTGATGTAAACAATATTTATTACTAGCCCATACTACTACCTTTTGAAAATAAAAAACTAAATTTCCATCATTTTGTAACATAAGTTTACAATTTATAGCATCCTTTATAGATGTTTTAGCTTCCCAAATTTTTTTTAATGATGAATATAGAACTATCTTACAGTTAGATTCTATTAGTAAAACATTTTTTTTATTAGGAGAAGTTAAAAATTGACCTTCATAAAGTATTGAGGGATTAATAAGTGTACTTGATAATAAATGGCAATAATAAGAATCATCAAGCTTATTCAATTGGTTTATTAGAAACCATTCTTCCCATTCTTGTACTAATTTATATTCTATAAAATAATTAATGCTTTCATTTTGAAAGTAATCTGAATTATGTTCTAATATATTATTACGATTTTGATTTATAAGATTCTGAAATCCTGCAATTAAAGCTCTTCCAAAAACATTATTTGAAGTACTCTCTATGGAGCATTGATCCTTTCTTTTAAACTTAAGACTAATTAATCCTTTTGAAACTTCAATAATCTCTCCATCCCCATAATTAGCTACATATGGATCATCTCTACTTATTTTGCTGATTAAATTAGTAAATGCACCTAGTATTTTTGCAATATCATTTGGACTTAAGAAATTAAGCTTTCCAAATTTGGGTCTATATAAAGGGGATACTGATCTGGCTACAAGTATGCAAAATAATAAAATACATAAATTCAATTTGATTAAATTCATCATTTCTTATGTAGCTATTATAAATTTTGATGAAAATATGTTGACAGCCTTTTTATATTCCTAAATAGTTGAATACATATTATACAATATATACACTACTCTAAGAGCTTTTAATATATTTAAACTTTCTATAATATTTTTAATATATATATTTTAATATTTTTACTCAGAAAAACATAACAATAGTCTAGTATTTAAAATAAATAAGAGAAAATGATTTAAATATTTCTTTTTTATTAAAAAAACATTTTACTGATAAATTAAAATAGTTATATCCAGCTGGAAAATTGTCTTCATGCTAATAACTAAATCAAATATATAGCTATTTAAAACTTTTAAATTTAAAAAAAAACTATTATCATATTATAGAAATAATTTGAAATATTATGCTGACTTTCTATTCAAGTATTATTGTTAGGAATTATATTATGATATTTGTAAAAAAATTAGTATTTATTTGATTCTTTATCAATCTCCACTCATACTAATTAAAACTTTAATTATGATATATGCATTTAAAAATATGGATTGTTTAAAAAGGAATTTGATTATATACACAGATTATGTATTTTAGTGATGATAAATTTATACACTTACCAATGTTGGAAGCTTTGTATTAAACAATAAATATCACTATATAAATAATAACTGTGAGTGCATGGAATATGGAAAGGGACTACAGAAATGTGCATCCCAATTAACCCAAAAACCCTAGCTTATATACAGGAGCGAGTGGTCCAGATTGAAACCAATCCGACGGCTACCAAAATCCACTACGCTAATATTAGTATACGGCATCGTAGCCGTACACTTGGCCCTCACATCATCCCCTCCTCTCGGAATAATGGAAGGTTGTCAGGGTTCGCTTGTAGATGGGCCGGGATCTGGAGGAACGTCAGGAGGAGGCATCGGTGGATCTGTAGACGGTATTAACTGCTCCTGATCCCTCTGTATGAAGCGTTTTAACCGCTGCACATGCACAATCTCCGGAGGATCAGCCTGCTGAACGTCATGCCGAACCTCATAAACTTGTGGTCCAACTTGCCGCAACACCCGATACGGTCCTTTCCACTGCGCAAGGAGCCCCTTAGATAAACCACGTACCGTAAGATGGGGAAAACGGACTAACACCAAATCATCCACTTTGTACTCCGCTGGTGGACGATGATGGGAATTGTAGCGCCGTTGTTGTCCCACTTGTATGCGGCCTAAGTGTTCAGCAGACTCTGCTCGGACAAGTGGAAGAATGCTTGTCAAATATTGATCCCATGACCTAGCATCAGGAGCTCGTGGCAATCGCGAAGGT